GGGAGCAGCCACTGCACTCCAGTCTGGGTGACAGAGTGAGATTCCAACTCGAAAAACAAAACAAAACAAAACAAAAAAGACCCCTACCTGTCACCATATACAAAAGTCAACTCTAAATGAATCAAAGACCTAAACATAAAACCTCAAACTATAAGAACCTTAGAAAACACCGTAGATACCCTTATAGAAATAGGAACTGGCAACCAATTCCTGATCAAAACCCCAAGTTCCCATGCCATAAGAGATAAGATAGACAAGTGGGATCTCAGCAAACTGAAAAGCTTCTAGAAAGCCAAAGAAACCATCAAGAGAGCAGGGAGACAGCCCACAGACTGGAAAAAAATAGTTGTCAACTGTATATGGCAAAGACCTAACATCTAGGATCTACAAGTAACTCAAACTTGCCAAAAAGAAAAAAACAAAACAACCCCATTACAAAGTGGGCCAAAGGTATGACTAGACACTTCTCAAAAGAAGACATATGAGCAGCCAACAGATACATGAAAAAAATGCTCAGCCTCACTAGTTATCAAAGAAATGCAAATTAAAACCACACTGCAATACCACCTAACTCCAGTGAGGAAGTCCATCATCAATAACTCAAAAAATAGCAGACGCTGGAGAGGATGCCGGGAAAAGAGAACCCTTCTACACTGTTAGTATTTGAGTGTAAACTAGTACACCTCTGTGGAAAACAGTGTGGCAATTCCTAAAAGATCTGAAAATCGACCTTCAATATGACCCTGCAGTCCCCCTTCTGGGAATATACCTGGAGAAACTCAAATCTCTCTATGAAAAAGATACCTGCATACACATGTTTACTGCAGCATTATTTACAATAACAAAAACATGAAACCCACTGTGCTGCCCATCAGAAGAGTACTGGATTAAAAAAATGTTGTACATATATACAGTGGAATATTATGCAGCCATAAAGGACAAAATTAGGTACTTTACAGCAACTTGGATAGACTTAGAGTTTATAACACTGAGTGATCTATCACAGAAACCAAGAACTGAGTACCACATGTTCTCACTCATAAGTGGACCTTGAACAATTATCATAATACTATAAGAAAAAAATTAGCAATAGTGAGAAACTGCCGGGAAGGGGTGAGGGGAAAGGGATTGACAGTAGTGTTAAACTCCCAGGGAGGGGAGGCACACCTCATCAACAAGGGTACCTGCATAATGAACATTTGTATACATAACCCTGAATTACATACCCCATATCTTTAAAATAAAAAAGTTTTTTAAAGGCTACATATTGTATGGTTCCACTTATATGGGATGTCCAGAATAGGCAAATTATAGAGACAGAAAATAGACAAATGATTGCCTAGGTCTGGAGTAGTTGAGGGAAGGTAGAAGTGACTGCTGTGGATATGGGCTTTCTGTGGTGATGAAAATGTTCTAAACTTAGATTGAGGTGATGTTTACATAACTTTGAATACTAAAAACAGTTGAATGATATATTTTAAATGAATAAACTGTAGGGTATGTGAATTATTTCTCAACAAACCTGGTAAACAAAGTTAGCAGAAATTGGTGGTTTGCTTTAAAGGGGCAAAATATAAAATGCTGTATGGAAAAAGATGATACTGTTCTATTAAATGTCCATACATTCTAAATGAATAGAAATATTAGTTGCAGCAGAGTAATTTTTAAAAGAAAGAAAAATAGCAAAATAAAATGGAAAGGTATACCTGGTGCTGCCCTCTCCTGAAAAAAATTTGAAACCCCAGAGTAGCCACCAGAATAGATTTTCCATCAGAGTACTTTTTCATGAGTTGCCCAGATTGTTGAAAGGAAATAAATTGTACCGCTCTCTATAAAGTTAGGCTTTTAATGGCTCTGTGAGCAAAGCCAAGTTAACAAAAAAATCAGACTTTTAATGCTGTATAATATAAAGCAAGAGAACATTTTGAAGAGGTTTGGTACCTTGGTTGCCGCCACTGTGCCAGTGAGTCACAGGGTAGCCAGCAGCTGCTACAGGCCAAGATGCCGGTGTGCAGAAGGTGTCTGAGCCTGGTAAGCCATGGAACCGGAGGCTGAAACATGCCAAAGCAGTAGCTTGGGCTGGAATCGAACACTACTACCTGCAGAGGGAGCAAGAGTTCAAGGCCAAGGAAGCCAGGGTTCTGGGATCCCATGGCAATGGCAGCTCTGAAGTAGAAGAGCCCCAGGAGATGACCATCCTCCAGACCTACTTCTGGCAGAACAGGGCAAAGTCCTAGACAACCCCTTGGTCTTTGTGTGTGACATACAGCCAGAAATCCATGGAACTACTGCATGAATGGATAGGGGAAGAAGGAGCGCCTTTTCCATGGATCAGCGTTTTAATGCCCTCATGGAATATGAGGCTTTAGCCAAGCTCAAGTTATAGTCCTGTGAACAGGCATTAGGTTATGTCTTTATATTACATAGTGGGTCTCTTCACTCTTTGGAGACCAGCAAATCTAGCTTCTTTGTACAGACTTAGAATTTGTCTAAAGATTTCACCTTTTTGCCTCATATTTCTTGAGGTACCCCCCATTCTTATTTAGTGAATATATGTTGTCCGTTTCCCCATGACTTTTGGCTCAAGCAACATGTATATCAATGTTGACCTTTTCTTAGAGCTAGGGGGAAAAACTCAATTATTTGAATAAAGAAAGGGATTAAATAACTTTTTTCTCCTAGCACTTTCTTGAAGGTCTGGAGCTTTATTTATGAAGAAGAAGTACATAGTTATTTGTAACCTGTATGAAGCAGTAGCCAGACTTCAAGTAGTCCTTTCCTGCTGATGGTTAGAACAGTGAATACTGGTATAATTGGGCTGCTTTGAACTTCTCTTAATTAAAATTACTAGATGATAGAATTCAAGAATGTGTTACATGTTATTACTTTGTATACCAATAACCATTTAAAAGTAAAGACCCTGTCATGGAAAAAAAAAACGTTTTGGTAAAAGCAGTCCTTGAGTGAGTCATGATGAAGTGGCCATTCTTCTTTTCAGGATGAATAATCATCCCATTTCATTTTTGTTTTATTTTATTTTTTACTTTAGAGCATATTGTATGACTTTAAATAACCTATAGGGTTTTTTTTTTCCTTACATTAAATAATTGATCCACCTTTGTACCTTCTGATTTCTCCTTTAGGAAAAAGATGCAAATCACCCCACCTCCTTATTTCTCTAGTGAGATGAGTGCAATAACTATTTTATTTCCCCCATCTCATTTTGTGGAGCAAATATAATAACAATGTATATAGTGATTTTTTTTAAAAAGTGTAACAAATAATCTGAAATTGTTCTTAAATTGAAACTCTATCATCACCCCTGCTTTCTCAGATTTCCTTCTTAAGTGTCCCTGCTCTGTGCTCTCATGGTACTCTCTTTGTATCTCCACGTCCTGGCATCTTCTGTTTATCTTACTGTCTCTTCCATTAGGCTGTGTGCTTCATTAAGACCAATGACTGGATGTTATTTTTGCACCTCAGCATCTATAGCTGAATTTGGCAAATAGGAGGTGCTCAGTGAATGCTGAACTAAACTTCATCAGAGAAGAGGCCCTATTAGATGTTATAGGGGCTGATATAACAGCCTTCCTTGGTTTGTTAATTTTTTAAGTTGAAGTATAGAATTATCAAAAATATATGTGCATACTGTAAAGTTTTATTTTTGTTAAGACATATAGTTGGGTCTACTATTTGACAATTATTTAATATAGAGCATGACCTTTAGAGACCCTGATTTGGATTCTAGTTAATCTTTTCTTGCATTAAAATTCAAACTTTTACTTATTTAGAGTCAGGGTCTTACTCTGTCACCCAGACTGAAGTGCAATTACACAATCATAGTTCACTGCAGCCTCCAATTCCTGGGCTCAAGCAATCCTCCTGCCTCATCCTCCCGAGGAGCTGGGACTACAGGCGCACAGCACCACACCCAGCTAATTTTTAAATTATTTTTGTAGAGATGGGAGTCTATTTATGTTGACCAGCCTGGAAAAATCAAATATTTTTAAAAACTCTAAAGTGAAAGCAATTTATTTAAAATGTGGGAACTTGGGAACAGCTTGAGACATAAACACAGAATCGCTTTTGATTTTTACTATTTTTCTCAATCTTTAACAGATATCTCAACCAAATCTAATTCAACAGCAATTTTAAAATTTTGAATTAGCAATTTTGTCTCGCTTCTACTGAATCTGTTTTAAACATTATAAAGTTCTTGGAGAAACAACTGTTCTCTTTTTGCAGCTATATTTTTGATAACCAAATGCAATTGCCTTAACAGGTTTGGGAACAAACATAACTGACTGTTCTTAATAAACGTATAACTCAGTTGTCTGGATCAGAAGTGTAAGGGAGTAGCTAAAGAGTAACTAACCAGCTATGAGCCCCTTAAAATTTATCCTGAGCATCAGGTCATATATTTTATAGAAATAATGGACTATTGTTAGTCTAGTAAGTCACTTAGTGGAGGGAATTTAAGAGAATGTGTATTATACTTGCTTTCTTTCATAAAATCTCAGCAGTTGTAGAGTATACTCAGAGTCAACTATCTTGCCAAAAGATTGTATAAACTTTGTTTTCCTTAAGACTCGGTGCTTTGAAATATCTTACTGCCATCTCAGGGCACGCCGGCTACTGCTAAAGAATTTCATGCTAACAGTTTTTTCATTTGTTTGTTTTAATTGCAGTGGTAGGAATGGGATCCTGGTGCTTCCACATGACTCTGAAATATGAAATGCAGGTTAGTAATGGCAAAAGTGGCAGAATGCTTATTTCTCTTAATTCAGAACTACTTCACATTTGAGAAGAGAGAACCAAGAAAACTAAAGGAGGGTTAAAAGATGGGATTTGTAATTGCTGGAGTTTTTTACTTCAGGTCAAAGGATCCAAGCTGACTAAGCGAAGTAAAGACTCACACTGGTGAGTTGTTCATAAAGAAAACAAGTGAAAACTCGGTCGGATTTTTTGACCACCTCTGTGCAGACAGATACAAGTTTAGAACAGCATTAGAGTCAAGTCACAAGAGACATCTTGAAAAGACGTCATCACTTCACCAGAACAATATACTCTTAGAGATCTGCATTGTTTCATGTCTCTATGGCACCCATTTGAAGGGCCCAGTCCCTCTAGCTAGCAAGATTTTAGAGCTATGCAAGGACTTTTAGTCCATATCCTTGCCCTAAGGAGACCATATGTCTAGTCCTCAATCTTCTGCCCTCTTGGTTCCCTTCACTAACCCAGAAACTTCTAGAATAGCACTGTTCAGTAGAAAGAAAATGTGATTTAAATTTAAGTTTATAAGCCAGGCTTGGTGGCTCAGCCTGTAATCCCCTGCTTTGGGAGGCTGAGGTAAGTGGATTGCCTGAGCCCGCAGGTTCGAGACCCGCCTGGACAACTTGGCGAGACCTCATCTCTGCAATAAATCAAAAATTAGCCGAATGTGGTAGCGCACACCAGTAGTTCCAGCTTCTTGGAAGGCTGAGGCAGAAGGATCACTGGAGCCCAGCAGGTCAAGGCTGCGGTGGCCGGGAGCGGCCACTGCACTCCAGTATGGGTGACAGAATGAGACTCCAACTCAAAAAAAAAAAAAAATTTAAGTTTATATTTAAATCTATAATTTAAAATGTTCTAGTAGCCACACTGAAAAAAAAAGAAATGGGCAAAATTAACTTAATATATTTTATTTACTCAGTATATATGAAATATTACTTCAGTATATAATCAGTATGGTAATTTATTAATAAAGTAGTTTACATTCTTAAATCTGGCGTATGTCTTACACCTGCAGTATACTAAAGTTCACATTCGACTTTTTAAAAGTGCTTACAGCTGGGCACGGTGGCTCAAGCCTATAATCCCAGCCCTTTGGGAGGCCAAAGAGAGAGGATTGCCTGAGCTTGCAGGTTCAAGACCAGCCTGGGCAACATGGTGAGACCTTGTCTCTATAATAAATCAAAAAATTAGCCAGGCGTTGTAGTGCGCACCTGTAGTTCCAACTCCTTGGAATGCTGAGGCAGAAAGATTGCCTGAGCCCAGCAAGTCGAGGCTGTGGTGGCCTTGAGCATGCCCCTCTACTCTAGCATGGGTGACAGAGTGAGAATCCAACTTAAAAAAAAAATTAAAAATTAAAAAAAAAAAAGTACTCAGTAGCCACATTGGAGTGGTCTGTATGGAGAGTTAAATCCTGTGTGACTTACAGGATAGCCACATGAGGTGTACTACACACAACATTGATACCTGGGTCGTAAGGACAGTGTCCACAAAGGCAGATGGTCCAGTGTAGGGTGTCAGAGCCTAATCTGGAGTGAGGCTGGTGCCTTCATGTCAGGGAAACCAGGATAGGGTGTTAGAAACCAGGGTAAAAAGGGTATCCATGCCAGAGGGACCAGCTCAGAGCAGAATAAGGAGGATGTCCCACAGGCAGGCAGACTGTTGGTGTATGGTTGGAATCTGAGTGGGATGGGGAGAGTGCCACTTAGTATGGACATCTTTGTACTGGGTTTTTGGGTACCCTGGCAGAGTGAGGATGACTTCTACATGGTAGGGTGGCCCAATACAGAATATGGGAGCACGGACAGAGTGAAGGGAAATCTACATGGGAGTTCAGCAGCAGCCCAGCACAAGGTGTTAGAGCCTGAGTGGCGTCAGGAAGGTTTTGCTTGGGAGAAGGAGGGGTGGCAATAATGGAATCCTCGTTACATTTGGGGAGTTAAATAAATCTATTAAGGATAATGGGAACCAAATTTACTATTAGAGAAGAGTCGCAGATATGGAAAAGATAAAACTAGAATGAACTCTGTAGTGATGAATTGAGATTGAGAGTTGCAGTGCATACTTTTATTTTCAATACATGTATGTATATATAATAGAAATAAATATAGATGTGAAAATAAGTAATATGCATATGTATGTATTTCATATATTTGTGTATACATTCTTACATATTTTTATTTTTTATTTCTTTTTTTATAGCTTTAGGGGGTGCAAATGATTTTTGGTTACATGGATGCATTGTATAGTGGTGAAGAGGTCTGGGCTTTGTTACCACCACCCCATCTGTGCATAATGTACCCAATAGGTGATTTTTGATCCCTCACCCCTTCCCGTCCTCCCCCTCTGAGTCTTCAATGTCCATTCCATATGCCTTTGCAAATCCTTAGTTTAGCTTACACTTGTAAGTGATAATATGTGGTATTTAGTTTTCCATTCTTGAGTTACTTCACTTAGGATGATGGCCTCCAATCCCATCCACCTTGCTGCAAAAGACATTATTCCATGGAGTGTGTGTGTGTGTGTGTGTGTGTGTGTGTGTGTGTGTGTGTTTGTTTATACACACTTCACATTTTCATTATCCACTGATCAGTCGATGGGCATTTAGGTTGATTCCACATCTTTGCAATTGTGAATTGTACTGCAATAAACATGTAAGTGCAGTTGTCTTTTTTGTATGACATTTCTTCCTCTGGGCAGATACCAAGTGGTGGTATTGGTGGGTTGATTGGTAGGGGTAGTTCTACTTTTATTTCCTTGAGAAATTTTCATACCGATTTCCATAGAGGTTATACTAATTTACAGTCTCACCAACAGTGTATAAACATTTCCTTTTCACTGCATTGGTGACAGCATCTTTTTTTTTTTTTTTTTTAATAATAGCTATTCTGACTGGTGTACGGTGGTATCTCACTGTGGTTTTAACTTGCATTTCACAGATGATGAGTGATGTTAAGCATTTTTTTGTGAGTTAGTTGGCCATTTATATATCTTCTTTTGAGAGATGGCTGTTCATGTCGTTTGTTCACTTTATAATGAGGTTATTTGCTTTTTTATTTTTGGTTTGTTTGAGTTGTTTCTGGATATTAGACTAGATTCTGGGTATTAGTCTTTGTTGCATGTATAGTTTGCAGATATCTTCCCCCATTCTGTAGGTTGCCTGTTTACTCTGTTGATTATTTCTTTTGCTGTGCAGAAGTTTTTTTTTGTTTAATTAAGTCCTACTTATTTTTGTTTTTGTTGCATTTGCTTTTGGGGCCTTAACCATACATTCTTTGCCTCGGCCAATGTTCAGAAGAATTTTTCCTCGATTTTCATGTAGGATTTTTATGTTTTCAGGTCTGACATTTAAGTCTTTAATCCAGCTTGAATTAATATTTCTATATGGGAAGAGTCGGGGATCAAGTTTCATTTTTCTGCATGTAGCTGTCCAATTTTCCCAGCACCACTTATTAAATAGAATGTCCTATCCCCAGTGTATGTTTTGTCTCCTTTGTCAAAGATCAATTGGTTGTAGTTATTTGGGTTTATTTTTAGATTCTCTATTCTGTTCCATTGGTCCATGTATCTTCTCTTCTACCAGAGCCATGCTGTTTTGGTTACTTTGTAGCATAATTTGAAGTCAAATAATGTGATTCCTTCAGCTTTTTTCTTTCTGCTTTGGATTTCTTTGGCTATTCTCTTTTTGGTTCTGTGTAAATTTTAAGGCTTTTTTTTCTACTTATGTGAAAAATGACATTGGTAGTTTGATAGGGGTTACATTTAATTTGTAGGTTATTTGGGGTAATATGTTCATTTCTTTTTTTTTTTTTTTTTGAGTTGGAGTCTCACTCTGTCGCCCAGGCTGAAGTGCAGTGGCATGCTCACGGCCCCCCCAGTGTTGACCTACTGGGGTCTGGAGATCCTTCCGCCTCAGCCTTCCAAGTAGCCAGAACTACAGGCGTGTGCTACCACATCTGGCTAACTTTTTATTTATTGTAGAGATGGGGTCTCGCCAAGTTGCCCGGGCTGGTCTTAAACCCACAGGCTCAGGCAGTCCACTTGCCTCGGCCTCCCAAAGTGCTGGAATTACAGGCAGAGCCACTGAGACCAGTCGGTAATATGGTCATTTTAACAATGTTGATTCTTCTAATCCATGAATATAAGATATTTTTTCATATGTTTGTGTCCTTTGTAATTTCTTTCATCAATGTTTTGTAGTTCTTCTTGTAGAGCTCTTTCACCTTCTTGGTTAAATATATTCCTCAGTATCTTAGTTTCTTGGCAACTATTAAGAATGGAATTGGGTTTTTTAATTGATTCTCACATTTTTGATCACTACTGGTATATACCAGTACTACTGATTTGTGTGTGTTGATTTTGTGTTCAGAAACTTTACTGAATTCATTTGTCAAGTTCAGGAGTCTTTTGAAGGAGTCTTCAGGATTATCTATATGTAAAATTGTGTCATTGGCATACAGGGATAGTTTGATTTCTTCTTTTACAAGTTGGATAACTTTTATTTCTTACTCTTGCCTGATTGCTCTGGCCAGGACTTCCAATACTATGTGAATATGAGTAGTGAAAGTGGGCGTCTTTGCTTTGTTCTAGTTCTGAGGAGGAATGCTATCAACTTTTCCCCTTTCAGGATGATGTTGGCTGTGGGTTTATTGTATATGGCTTTTATTGCTTTGAGGAACGTTTCTTCTATGCCTATTTTGCTGAGTGCTTTTTATCATGAAGGGAAGCTGAATTTTATCAAATGCTTTTGCTATGTATTAAAATAATCATGATTTTTTTTGTTTTTAATTATGTGGTGGATCACATTAATTGATTTGTGTGTGTTGAACCATTCTTACATCCCTGGAATAAAACCCACTTGATCATGTTTTTTGTTTTTTTTTTTAACGTGTTGTCAGATTTGGTTTACTAGTATTTTGTTGAGGATTTTTACATCTATTCTCATCAGGGATATTGGTCTGTAGTTTTCTTTTTTTTGTTGTGACTTTTCCTGGCTTTAATATTAGGGTGACACTGGCTTCATAGAATGAGTTAGGGAGAATTCTCTCCTTTTTAATCTGTGAAATAGCATTAGTAGAACTGGTACCAACTCTTCTTTGCTGAGTCCATCAGGTCCCAGACTTTTTTTCATGGAGAGACTTTTAATTGCTGATTCTGTCTTACACCTCATTGGTCTGTTCAGAATTTCTATTTTTTCCTGACTCAAGGTTGGAGAGTTGAATTTTCCAGGAATTTATCCATTTTCTCTGATTGTCTAGTTTCTTTGCATAGAGATGTTTGTAATAATCTCAGATAGTCTTTTGTATTTCTGTGGTATGTTTGTAATATCTTCATTTTCATTCTGATTGAGCTCATTTGTATCTTCTATCTTCTTAACGACTTTAGCTAATAGTCTATCAATTTTACCTTTTCAAAAAATCAACTTTTTATTTCATTGATCCTTTGTAAATTTTTTTTTTCAGTTTCATTTAGTTCTGCTGTGTTCTTTGTTATGTCTGTTCTTCTGCCACCTTCTGGTTTAGTTTATTCCAGTTTTTCTGGCTCCTTGCAGTGTGACATTTGGTTGTCAATATGTGATTGTTCAGTCTTTTTAATGTACACTTTAAGTGTTGTAAATTTTCCTCTTAGCATAGTTTTGGCCATGTCCCAGAGATTTTGATAATTTGTTTCATTACTGTCACTTATTTCAAGGAAGTTTTAAATTTCCATCTTTGTTTCATTGTTGACCCAAGAATCATTCAGGAGCAGATTGTTTAATTTCCATGTATTTGTTTGACTTTGAGAGTTCTTCTTGGGGAGTTAATTTCTAGTTTTATTCCGTGTGGTCTAAGAAAGTGTTTGATATGATTTTGATTTTTTTGAACTTATTGTACCTTATTTTGTGGCCTATCGTATGGTCTGTCTTGGGGATTATTCCATGTCTGATGATAAAAATGAATATTCTGGAGTTTGGGAACGGAATGTTCTGTAGATGGCTGTTGGGTCCATTTGATGTAGGGTTTGGTTTAAATCCAGTGTTTCTTTGTTGACTTTCTTCCTTGATGATCTGTCTAATGCTGTCAGTAGATTGTTGAAGTCTCCTGCTATTGTTATATTGCTATCTCTTTTCTTAGGTCTGTAGAATTTGTTCTTTATTATAAAGCTGGGACCTCTGGTGTTAGGTGCTTATATATTTTTTGTAATTGTTATATCTTCTAGTTGGACTGATTATTATATAATAACCTTTGTGGAGTTTTTTTATCACTGGTGCTAATTTAAAATCTGTTGTATCTGGTATGAGAATGACTACTTCTGCTTATTTTTGGTTTCTGTTTATGTGGAATATTTTTTCCACCCCTTTTCCTTGAGTGTGTAGGAGTCTTCATATGTTAAGTGACTCTCTTGAAGGCAGCCGATACTCGTAGTTTTTAAAATCCATTTTGCCAATGTGTATCTTTTAAGTGAGACACTGAGACCATTTATGATGATATATGTAGTACTGTCCTAGTCATTATGTTGATTGTTACCTGGTTGGTGTTTTTTGTTTGTTTGTTTTTTTCTCTCTCTCTACTGTGTTGGTGTTCTGTATGTCTTTGGGCTTTATAATTTCCAAGGTTTTTCTATTGGTGTATTTCAACCTTTTGTTTCAATATTTAGAACTCCTTTGAGTATTTTTTGTAGAGCCAGCCTAGTGGTGACAAATTCCCTCAGCATTAACTTGTCTAAGAAAGACTTTATTTGTCCTTCATTAATGAGACTTTTGCAGGATACAAAATCCTGCTGACAGTTATTCTGTTTGAGGAGATTGAAGATGCAGCCCCATCCCTTCTGGTTTGTAGGAAACATTTGCTGGGAAGTCTGCTGTAAGTTGAATAGGTTTGCCTTTGTAAGTTATTTGATACTTTTGTTTCACTGCTCTTAGAATAATTTCCTTCACATTTACTTTGCATAACCTGATGACTTTATGGCTTGGAAATGACAATTTTTTCAGGAGCTTTCTGGGTATCTTGTATATAGATGCTTAAATCTCTGGCAAGACCAGAGAAGTTTTCCTCAGTGTTAATTTACTGATTTTCTTGGTAATATTGTGGATATAAACGTGAATATCCTTTTTAGGTATAATTTATATACAAGTCAGAGGCTTTATGTATGTTCAAAAAAATTGTGGAGCCATTACTATTATCTAATTCCAGAACATTTTCATCACCCCTTAGAGAAAACCTATGACCGTTAGCAGTCATTCCCTCCCTCTAATCCCTGACAACCACTAATCTACTCTTTGCTGTATGGATTTTCCCATTCTGGGCATTTCATATAAATGGAATCATATAATGTGTGGCCTTTTGTATCTGCTTGTTTGACTTAACATGTTTTCATAGTTCATCCATGTTGTAGCATGAGATACTCATTTTTCAGCTGAATAATATTTCATTATCTGGATATACTACATTTTGTTTATCCATTTATCAATTAACAGACGTTTGGGTTGTTTTTACTTTTTAAGTATTATGAATAATGCTGCTGTAACATTTGTATGCAAGTTTTTTTGTGGTAAGGAGGTTTAAAATTTTCCCCTATTAGTTTTGGTAATTTGAGTCTATAAAACAAACTGATGATAGACTAACAAGAAAAAAGGACATCCAAATTTTATTAACATATATTTGGACATGGGAGTCATACAAAATCTCAAAAATCAAAGAAGTGGCCATAGATTTGACACTTTGATACCATCTTGAGGTTACAAAAAGAATAAGGGCTTGGTGCTTAAAAACAGGTTATAGTGGCAAGACAGGGTTTGGAAGAGAGAGAAGGGGAAATGCTTAGCTAGCAAAGGCAATATTGTTGTGTAGATGAAACCTTACTGGTAGCAGCTCTCAGAAAGAATAGGTGGTAGGCTATGGTAAATATTCTGTCAGACCTTTAAAAGTACTAGATTACTAATCTTTCCTAGATCTAGTCAAGTAGGGAGGGGGGACTCAGGGGAAGCCTGTTTGTATCTGTTGTTTTTCACTTTATTTCCTTCCACACAGAAGATAGCTTTTCAGCTATTATTGTGTTTCTAGCTCTTCTAATAGTTGTCTTGAAATATATCAAAGAAATACATTTTAGGGTGAAGTATTTTTAATTTCCTTCAGTGTAGATGTATGTTTTCAGTTTTCTTGGACATATACTGAGGAGTAAAATTGCTGAGTCACATGGTAACTCTGTGCTTAACCTTTTGAGGCACTGCCAGACTGTTTTTCAGTGTGGCTGCACCATTTACATTTACATTCTTGGCCACCTCTTCATATATTGCTAACACTTGTTATTGTTTTTCCTTTTGGTTGTCTTTTTTGAGTGGGTGTAAAGAGGTTTCTCACTGTGGCTTTGATTTGCATTTCCCTAATGACTAATGGTATTGAACATCTTTTCACATGCTTATTGGACATTTGTATATCTTCTTATGGAAATGTCTGTTCATATCATTTGTCAATTTTCAAAATTGGTTTGTGTTTTTATTAATGAGTTGTAAGAGTTGTTTATGTATTCTGGATACAGATATATGATTTGCAAATATTTTCTTTTATGAGTTGTCTTTTTACTTTCTTAATAGTGCCCTTTGAAGCAAAAAAAAAAAAAAAAAAAAGGTTTTTAGTTCTGCTAAAATACATTTTATCTGTTTTTTCTTTGGTTGCTTGTGGTTTTGGTCTCATAGCTAAGAAACAGTTGCCTAATCCGAGGTCATGAGGATTTATACCCATGTTTATCTCCTAAGAGTTATATAGTTTAGCTCTTACATTTAAGTCTTTGGTTCATTTTTAGTTAATTTTGTATGTGGAATGAGGTAGGGGTCTTGCTTCATTCTTCAGCACGTTGATATCCAGTTGTCCCAGAGCCATTTGTTGAAAAGGATGTTCTTTCCTTATTAAATTGTCTTAGCACCCTTGTTGAAAAATCAGCTGATCATAAATGTGTGAATTTCTTTATCAGCTCTCAATTCTATTGCATTGACTTATATGTCCGTTCTTATGCTGTTACCACACAGCCTTGATTACTATAGATTTTTAGTAAGATTTGAAATTGAGAAGTATGTGTCCTCCAAGTTTGTTGTTCTTTTTTGAGATTGTTTTAGCCACTCTGGGGCCCTTGCATTTTCATATGAATTTTAGGATCAACTTGTCCATTTCTGCAAAAAGGTAGCTGGAACTTTGAAGAGATTGTGTTGAATCCATAGATCACTTTGGGGAATATTAACATCTTAATATTATGTCTTCCAATCCATGAATGTGGAATTTTTTTTTGTTTATTTAAGTCTTTAATTTGTTCAATATTGTTTTATGGCTTTCATGTGCAAGACTTCTTTTATTAAATTTTTTCCTAAGTATTTTATTATTTTGAAGCTATTTTCAAAGGAATTGTTTTCTTAATTTCATTTTCAGATTTCTCATGTCTAATATATAGAAATACCAGTGATTTTTACATTTTGATCTTGTGTCCTTGTATTCAACTTATTTTATCATTAGCTCTTAACACATTGCTTGGTAGTAGACATTTAAGATGCTATATAGGAAGATGGGAAATGGAAAATGCTGTTAGGACCTATAGACTTGTAGATGATGGCCATAAATCTTTCCTGGAGGTGTGATATCATAGTTTGTGGGAGTGAATAATATGAGCAGCACGATTACAAGACTGCCCTCCGAGAACAGTGAGTCAGACATTCTACTTAAGTGTGCACATTAGGACAGATGGATGGGCAACCTTATTTATTCAAAAACAATAAACTTCACAAACTCAGAGTAAATTAGATGATAAATTTATAGAAGACTTAAGTAAAAGAAATTAAATGAGATGAAAATCCGAATATTCTGATGTTTTATTTTAATCTGTATAATAATTGCAGCTGTATGATATTCAAACCTGTTATATCTTTGTTTCCTATAGCTATTGGATGAACTCCCAATGATTTACAGCTGTTGCATATTTGTGTATTGCATGTAAGTACTTACTTTTAAAGTTGTTTGATATATATGCCTCATAGTGAATTAATATAACTAACCCAGTTATAGCACTAGGAGATTGTAATAATATAGAAGACTGTAAATTTTACAATATCAATCAATGTAGGGTATAATTTCTGGGAAGTTATGATTATGTTAGTTAACTTGTGTGATTTCAAAACCCTGTAGCCAGTTTAGATGGAATCTTAATTTGACTTAAGTTGCATAATTTGCCTTTCCTTGAGTGAAGAATGTGTACAAATTTAGATAAAGATTTTCTATATTATGCAATAAAAGTTTTTAGGTAAAGTTTCTCTATGCTATCATATAGTTTTTTTAAAAGAAACTTATTGTAAAATGAGGTACATTTCTAGTTATATAGTGATTGTGTCATTTTAGTCTATTCTTTGCTTTGAAGTTATCTTTTCAATCGATATTTTCTTTCTTTAAATTCTTAATAATTTACCAGAATACACTATTTACTTTGCATGAGCTTTCTTCCTACTTCCTAGAATACCTTTCTCCCCCAGCCCATTGTAAATTAGACTAAATGCTATCAAGAAAAATGCTTATTTTGATTGAATATTTACAAATGTGGAAGTGAACAATAAAATGATTTACAACCCATTACCAACCCAAAGTTCCCTTCTGTTTCTGTCATATTCTGTTTACTTCATTATCAAGTTATCAATTTGCATTTCCTGAGTGTTAGGGAAGAAATCAGCCTTGAAAGATTAATGCGATTATGATAATAACATCTTTAAGCACTAATATTTATCTACTTTGTACTGTGCTGGGCAATAGCCTGTGCCATCTCTAATTCTCAACAACTATGCAAGATAAATGTGTATTGTCCCCATTTTATAGACAAGAAAGTGAAGCACAGAGAGATTTAGTGCCTTGTCTAAAAACATAAACAGAACTTGATTTAAAAGCCAGGTTATGTTCCAGTAAACAATCTCTAAGGAACACTAAAATATCCCTGGAAGTGCATTTATGAAAGAAAAAAATTACAGTAGTCAGAATTTCTCTCAAGAAGAGATTGGAAGAATGTCTTAATAGGCTGTGTGAGTATGTGGTGGAAGTATAGATGTGGGACCCATTCTGTAGGGCTTGATCATATAATGACAGACAATCATTAAATGTGACTTCTAAGGAGAGTAGGTGAGGTTAGCTACAGGTTTTTTGTTTTGCTGAGTTAGGGTATACGAGTTTGGGCTTGAGCTAAATTGCTGGGATCATTGGAGGAAAGTCTCCTATACATCACCCTGAAGCATTCAGTCTCTCTAAATTTGGATAAGTATGTAAAGAACATGTGTTTGGAGAGGCAACACATTGTTAGATTGTGTAGGAACCTACATGCCCAGGTCAGGTCCTAGTTAACAAGGCTTTTAAGTGGTAAAGCCACAATTTGAACTAGTTTATATCTGACTTCTACATCATGACACTTCTCCCAAAAGTTAATAGTAAACACTGAAGTAATTGAAAGGGTTGTTTTTTTTCTTCTATTTTTGGTGTGCTGTACAAACAATACTACTGTTGCCTCTTAATCTTTACTAAGACTGATTTTTATCCAGAAGCAATAAAAGGAAGAATAACCATTTAGCGTCTAAGATGCATATGGCATCAAGCCCTATTTCAAAGAAATGTAGAACATTGTAAGAAGATGTAGATCATTGATCAGCAAGCTTTTTCTATAAAGGGCCAGATAGTAAATGTTTTAGGCTTTGTGACTCTGGGGTCTCTGTTACAGCTCTCTAACTCTGCTATTGTAGCTCGGAAGCAGCCCTAGATAAATATAGACAAACGGGCATGACTGTGTTCCAGTAAAATTTCGTTTTTAAAAAACAAGCTCAGCTGAAAAGTTGACTCTCGAGCCACAGTTTGCCATTCCTAATCTAAAAAAGTACTTTCAGATGAACTTCTTTTAATAACATATTTTAAAAACGGTTTTGATATTTGCATATCTTTAGAAAATATTCTTGAGCTTGCAATTATGACCATATTGAAAAGAATCAAATAAACATTATGTAATGGGTTCAAAGAACTCAAGTATTACTGCTAGGGAACAGCAGACACTACTTAAAAGGTAAGGCTATTGCAGTTCAATTTTCAGCTCTGACACTAACTTTGGGAGACTGAGGCAGGCAGATTGCTTGAGCCAGGGTTTCAAGACCAGCCTGGGCAACATAGCGAGACCTCCTCTTTACAAAAATTAGTCAGGCATGGTGGCACACGCCTATAGTTCCAGCTACTCGAGATGCTGAGGTGGAAGGATCACCTGAGCCCAGGAGGTCAGGGCTGCAGTGAGCAGTGATCATAGTGATCATGCCACTGCACTCCAGTTTGAGTGAAAGATTAAGATCCTAATTTAAAAAAAAAATTTTTTTTTTAAAGTAAAAGACTTTTATCTATTAAAGACAATGTCCTTGGATTCTAATCTTTCTCAACAGTCTTCTGCGGTTCCTGCTTATGCTTATATTCTCTCATTCAGAAAGAAACTTTTGTAGTACACTTCAAGAAAGAAATGAAATAATTTTTAATCCATTTTACTGAGGTATCATTTACATGTAATAAAATGTACCCAGTGTAAGTATATAATTTGAAGAGTTTTGACAAAGGTATATTCCCATGTGCCCATTACCCTTATATCAAGAAAACGTCCATCACTTCAGAACATCCCTTTTTGCCCCATTGCAGTTAGTCCCAATCCCTACCTTTGACTCCAAGGCACCACTGATCTGCTTTCTATAATTATAGATTAGTTTGGTCTGCTCTTAAATCTTAGTTAAAAGGAATTTTGTTTCTTTTGTATCTGGCTTCTTTTGTCCAGTACAATATTTTTGAGATTGTTACATAGATCATTAGTAGTATTCCATTATTGGACATTATGCTTGTTGCCAGTTTGGGGCTATTATGAACAAAGGGACTGACTGTGACATCTGTTTATATGTCTCTATATGGATATGTGTTTTCATTTATGTTGGGTAAATATCTAGAGTTAGACTTGCTAGGCCATATGTTAAGTATACATGTTTTTTGTTGTTGTTGTTGTTGTTGTTTTTGAGTTGGAGTCTCACTCTGTCATCCAGACTGGAGTGCAGTGGCCGCTCCCGGCCACCGCAGCCTCGACCTGCTGGGCTCCAGCGATCCTTCCACCTCAGCCTTCCAAGTAGCTGGAACTACAGGCGCGCGCTACCACACCCAGCTAATTTTTGATTTATTGTAGAGATGAGGTCTCGCCAAGTTGCCCAGGCAACTCACGAACCCGCGGGGTCGAGCAGTCCACTCACCTCAGCCTCCCAAAGGTGTGGGATTACAGGCTGAGCCACCGAGCCCAGCTACATGTTTTATTTTATAGGAAACTGCGAAGTTGGTTTTCAGTTTGGTTCCACCTTATTATAGTTATATTGGCAATACATATATGAGAGTCCCATTTGTCCCATATCCTTGAAACACTTGAGATTGTCAGTCTTTAATGGTATTCATTCTAGTAAGTACACTTTCTCTGTGGTATTTAATTTGCATTTCCTTAAATACTAATGATAATGTGCATCTTTTCATATGCTGATTGCCCATTTTTATATCTTATGTTTGAAATGTCTGTTCAAATCTTTTGCCCATTTTTATAAACTAGGGTTTTTTCTTTTTTCTTTTCTTTTTTTTTTTGAGTTGGAGTCTCACTCTGTCGCTCAGACTGGAGTGCAGTGGCCACTCCCAGCCATCACAGCCTTGACCTGCTGGGCTCTGGCCATCCTTCCACCTCAACCATCCAAGTAGCTGGAACTACAGGCGTGCACTACCACGCCTGGCTAATTTTTTTTTTTTTTTTTTTTTTTTATTGTAGAGATGAGGTCTTACCAAGTTGCCCAGGTGGGTCTCGAACCCATGGACTCAGGCAATCCACTCACCTCAGCCTCCCAAAGCGTGGGATTACAGGCTGAGCCATCGAGCCCACGTTTTTTTCTTATTATAAGAATTCTTTATGTATTTTCATTCAAGTCCTGGGAGATACTTGTATATTAAATATTATTCCCAGTCTGTGAATTGTCTTTTCATTTTCTTTTCTTTCTTTCTTTCCATGTCTTTTGAAGAACTTAAGTTTTAAATTTTCATGAAATCCAACTTACTAAAAACATTTCATGAATGGTACTTTTTGTGACCAAAGAGTTTTTTGCCTTTCAAGGATCAAAAATATTTTCTGTTGGGGTTTTTTTTTTTCCTAGAAGTTTTATGACTTTAGGTTTTACATTTAGGTCCCTGATCCATTTTGAGTTAATTTTGAATAGGGTATAAGATAATAGTCAAAGATCATATTTTATTCTACTAGTATCTGGTTGATCCAAAACTGTCTTTGGAAAGACTATTCTTTTGGCATTTTTTCTCTTTTCTCTCCTCTTCTGTTCATCATTGTACATATCCTCATACTGTCTAGTTATTGTAGCTTTATTGTAAATCTTAAGTCAGAGTAAGTCCTCTAATTTTGTTCTTTTTCAATATAGCTTTGAAAATTCTAGGTCCTTTGCATTTCCACATAAATTTTAGAGTCAGCTTGTTGATTTCTACAAAAATGCCTGCCGAAAGATTGATTGCCAGTCCTTTGACTCTATAGACTAATTGAGGACAGTTGATATCTTAACAATATTAAGTCTTCTAAGCCATAAATATGATATATATGTAGGTTTTCTTTATGTAGATTTTCTTTACTTTCTCTACTTTCTCTCAGTGAAGTTTTGTGATTTTTCTGGGCATAGGTCTTTGTTAAATATAATCCTAGGATTTTCATAATTTATGATGCTATTTTAAATGATATTGCTTTTTAAAAACTTTATTTTCCAACTAGTATTTAGAAATACAAGTGGGTTTTGTATATTGACCTTTTATCCCATGACCTTGCTAACTTTGCTTGTTAGTTTTTTTGTTGATTCCTTAGGATAGTCTTTGAACATATCAAGTAGGTAAAGTAGTCTAGACCTCTAGTCATTTAAAAATCTGTCTTGCCTTCTGTTTGCTTGTATTTATGCTTATTCATTTGTGAAATAGCATAATGATACTAGGTTTTGTGAATACAAAGAGTCAAGGAGCTCATTGTTTAAAGAAGGGGACAGATAAGAAAGTGACTATATATAATAAAGTGAATTCTTCAGGCGTGGTGACTCACGCCTGTAGTCTCAACACTTTGGGAGGGCAAGGCGAGAGGATTGCCTGAACCCAGAGATTCCAGATCAGCTGGGCAACATGGTGAGGCCTCATCTCTACAATAAATCAAAAAATTAGTGGGCCATGGTGGTACATTCCTACAGTTCCAACTACTTGGAAGCCCAAGGTGAAAGGCTCTCCTGAGCTGTGAATGTACCACTGCACTCCAGCCTGGGCAACAGAATGAGATGCCGACTCAAAATAGATAGATAGATAGATAGATAGATAGATAGATAGATAGATAGATAGATAGATAGATGGATGGATAGGCAGACAGACAGACATACATACATACATACATACAGATAACCATGATAATAAATACAAGTCAGACCTCCTAAAGACCTTTGGTTTTTTAACAGATAATCTGCTTTGAGGACATCTGAAATGATAAGCAGAAATTTCTAAACCATTGATGGAATAAAAAGAGTAATTATAGCCAGGCTCAGTAGCTCAGCTTGTAATTCCACGCCTTTGGGAGG